AGGCTCAAGTGAGTCTCCTGCCTCAGCCTCCCAAGTAGCTGGGACTACAGGCACCTGCCACAACGCCTGGCTATTTTTTGGTTGCAGCCATCATTGTTTGGTGGGCCGGGGCTGGATTCTAACCCGCCAGCTCAGGTGTATGTGGCTGCCGCCTTAGCTGCTTCAGCCACAGGCGCCAAGCCTAGAGAATATTTTGTAATGAATATTTTGTTCTTTGTTTTTTCTGAGACAGAGCCTCACTGTGTCGACCTCATAGAGTGCTGTTGTGTCACAGTTCCCAGCAACCTCCAAACAGCCAAGGTGTCCGTCCGGCTATTTTTGGTTATAGTTGTCATTATTTGGCAGGCCCGGGCTGGGTTCGAATCTGCCAGGTCTGATGTAAATGGCTGGCGCCCTAGCCACTAGTGCCAAGAGCTACAAGTGCCAAGCCTGTAATGACTATTTTGTAAGTAAAGATATATTTAGCTACAATTTCATATTTTCCCTGTATATGGTTGACTGTAGGGGTAACTTTTGGGGATACCCTGTATTTGCAAATAACGTTTTATATCTGTTTTGTTTTGACACCGGGTCTCTGTAGTCTCAGCTAGAGTGCAACGGCATTGTCATAACTCATTATAACCTCAAACTCTTGGGCTCAAACAATCCTCCGGTCTCAGCCTCCCAAGTATTTAGGACTACAAGCTTACCCACTACTCCTGGCTTATTTTTTCATTTGTTCAGGCTGGTCTTGAACTTTTGACCTCAAGCAGTCCTGCCACCTCAACCTCCCGAAGTGCTAGGATTACAAGTGTTAGCCATGGTGCCTAGCCTAAAGGAGATTTTCAAGTGTTGACAAACTTTCATGAGTTGCTCCCCAATAGTATACTGCCTCCTCCCAAAATCATTTTCCAGTAAGCAGCTTTAGAAACAGATGTAAAAGAAGCAAATTTAAAGTGGTAAGTTGCTTTTCTTTTTGTTTCAGATACGTTGGTAACCTTTCCAGAGATGTGACAGAAGCTCTAATTCTTCAGCTCTTTAGCCAGATTGGACCTTGTAAAAACTGCAAAATGATTATGGATGTAAGGGTATTTTACTTTATTCTTTTTTTACACATTACCTAAAGCGATTACTTCCAGGAAGTCATAGTTTGTGTAGTCCAGGGGTCCTCAAAAATTACAGCCTGCGGGCCACATGTGGCCTGCTGAGGACATTTATCTGGCCCGCCAGGTGTTTTTGCTGCCGCCGCGTGTCCTACTTTGCAGCCGACTTGTCCTGGGCCCGCAGTCCAGGCCTGTAGTCCGGCCCTCCAATAGTGTGAGGGACAATGAACTGGCCTCCTGTTTAAAAAGTTTGAGGACCCTTGGTAGTCTAAATTCATAAAAATTTTGCTGAATTTATAATCCATTTTGACAATTGAATTTATTTATTTATTTTTTAATTTTATAAGGATTTATTCTGTTATTTTTTATAAGTGTGTTTTAGATGTTTTTTGTTTTGTTGTGTTTTTTTTTTTTAATTTTATTAAGTCAAATACACTTAGATCATTAATACATTCATGCATATTGGGGTGAATTTGTTTTTTTAAATAAAGCAGGAAAAGAAAATAGAGCTAATCATTTATAGGAGAAGTTCTCTATAACTTTCATTTGTTATATATGTATACACATATATGTAGGCTTTTGTTACAAGGTGCAGTGAGTCATCAGAATTGGTTTTCTTTTGTTTTTTTTTTTTTGTAGAGACAGAGTCTCACTTTATCACCCTTGATAGAGTGCTGTGGTGTCACACAGCTCACAGCAACCTCCAACTCCTGGGCTTAAGCGATTCTCTTGCTTCAACCTCCTGAGTAGCTGAGATTACAGGCACTTGACACAACGTCCAGCTATTTTTTTGTTACAGTTCGGCCGGGGCCAGGTTTGAACCCACCATCCTCGGTATATGGGACCTGCA